AAAAAGAAAATCAAGTTTGGATTTCATTTTAAGCAAAATAAGCAGAGACATCCAGACGACTACATGAGGAAATTCCACATGTATCTTCTACTTCAATTTGGAATGGCTCTTCTAACATCTCTTCCCGCTAAGAAGACTAAAAAAGACCAAATCATTTGAGATACTGCATTCCTTCTTGACATCAATCTGGTCGAAGATTTAACTGAAAAGAGCCTTTATTTTTGTACTTTGTACATTATAGGATGAAATTCTGTTACGTTGTAATCTCTTTTGAACAATTATTAGAAATCTCTGTATTTCCCTTTACAGGCTGTTCTGTTTATACAGAGAGAGCATCCCTGTACAAATGCAGTCTCTGTACAATGAAAGGTACAGCTCAGAATTTCCCTCTGGGTGCTTGTGACACATGCACAGGCATGTGAGCTGACAGTGGTACTTCTCACATAATCAGTATAAATATAGTGGTTCCAGGAAGAGATGACGTCACACATTTTATAGTAGAAGAACTGTATAAAACAATTATATTCCCTAGCAGCATTTGTGGATATGCCATACGTTAAGTACTACAGTTGTGATCTTCTCTCTTCAGTAGGAGGAAGAAAATACACTAAGACTGTATTTATATCATCATAAATGAAGGAAAGATTTAGCCCCGTAATTTCGGTCTTGGATGTTTTAAGTAGTAGGGCAAAACCCTGGCTCTACCGAAGTCAACAGCATCAGTGCAACCAGTCTCAGGTTTGTTGATCTCTACACCAGGGCACAAAGACCACTGAAATTTCCAAGTTTTTACAAGTGACTTGGCATTTTATCTCAGTTGCTGAGACTGCTAAACTGTCCCTGCACTGAATTCTCCACAAGAGACACTATAGCTATCTACACATCTAGAGAATAGAATAGGTACCTGTCACTTAGATGAAGCATTTATGCTTTAATTGGAATTTGTGTGATTTAGACCTAAATTGGCACAGCTTTCCTGCCTGGTTTTCAATGCTTTCATTGTAAGAGTTTCACAGTTTAAGGCAATGTGAGAAGACACAAGCATTTTTTGCAAGACCATGAACACACGTACCCTCTACTCCAAAACCAGTTGCTAACATCTGTCGTTACATACAAGAGCTTAAAAATATACAGATCAATAATGTTCTGCTACAATTTTCAAATAAAAAGCTCATGTAATTTTTTCCAAACATGGTCCCTCTAGAAGCTTTTGTAATGATGTAGGAGAGGGAGACATTGCACCACACTCTTCCAAGCCATTCCAATTGTCCCACACATAATTTCCCTGCTGCTCCCCCCCCCCTCCATTTTCAGTAAAAGTGTCATTCTTGTGCTGTTTCTGCAAGTGGACAGAATTTTGAGCATCTGCTCCCAAATGATTACAAATCAAGGAACCTTCATGCTCCATTAGCTTGAGAAGACGGTGTTATTAATGATTGCTATTCAAGGAAGTTCACAGTAAGTGTCTAAGTGAAGACACCTCTGATGCAAGGCTTTGTTTTGTTTCTGAAAACAGCTGAGTGAGCAGTCTTCACTCTCGCTGTTTAACATATTTCTGAAGCTAACACTTCTAAGAAATTTCAATTATTTTCATTAGCTTAGCAGTAACATCAGCTTCCTCTGGAAACAGAAACAATACTATCATTCTACAGTAATGCTCATGAAAGTCATTTAGCTTAAGCAAATACCAGGGCCTATGAAGATGCAGCACTGGCCTTAGTCCTCTACTCTTTATCCAGTTGCAGAAGTCTAAAAAAGCTGGTTCAAATCCAGAGTGCAAAAAGTGAAAATTTAAGTATTAGGCCATATTACTACTGGACTTGAAACAATGTAAGAAATGAATGAGTATATCCTGGCAGACCCGATTTGCTCGACAAGGTAATACACCGTTATTTCCCCCATGATCTAAACCAGCAGCCTTTTATTTCAATAGAAGCAGGACCAACTCTGCAAAGGAAAGGCGAGTTGGAGGACTCACTGAGATTTTTGCCTGTTACTTGCCTAGGTGCACAACAAATGCAACGCATCTCATGCATGAATACCACATAATACCAAATTTAAAGATAAAAGATCTGACTCATCACTACACTGCACCAGTTTTGTGCCTACAGGGCTCCATGTTCTTCCACGGTGACTCAGACCCAAGACTCCCCTCTCTCCAGGAAAAACATGACAAGTCATGCAGTACATATTAGACTTACCCATCAACTATAATCGCCATTTGCACTCTGAAACTAATTGGAATGTAACATTCCATACTACTTACAGTTTGCTGTTATGCCTAGAGATAAGAATATATATAATTAATGTAAAGAGCAGAAGTTTAAAACACAGTCAACTGAATTAACCCTCTTACACCTGGCAACACACAAGCAGTCCTGTTTAAGAAAGCGGTCCCTTGCCAAATGTTAGTAATCTTGATATGAACATGCTAAGATTAACACCATGGAATTAAAGGGAAGGAGATTAGTCACTGGAACAAAAAGTTTCTCTGGAACAGTTCTCATTCCAAGACTGCTGCCTTCACTTTCCTAATCCAAAGCTGCTGAAACAGAAGAAATTTTCTGGACAACTGTAAGATAGGCATTGACTGTTTCTTCCAAAAGGACATGCAGTGTTTATGACAGCTATTTTTGGCTTTCGGCTATACAAATATAAAACACCAGGAGGCCGATTTTCTTCTCACAGCTTCATGTCAGTATATATTCATTGATTTCAGTGCAATTATATCTGATTATTTACCTGGCATGGAAGTTAGACAGATCAGTGCTGACCCTTAAAGACAATTCTGAATGGACTTACACAGGGCAAAATGGACAGGAGGAGACAATCTATTCTATGGTCTCTGACAGCGTACAACTGTAGAAATCAAGGGAACCATTAATAAAGAACTAAACCTTCAAAAGCCAAACAAACCAAAACAATTCATCCTTCACCTTGCTCTGAATCTTAATGGATTGCTATCCAGCACTTACCATAATGTACCCTATGCTTTTTTCCTGCTTTTTTTTTTTTTTTTCAGGATTGGTGGGTTACCCTGGCACGCAGAGATCAAAGCCACATGTTTGTTTTCAGGATTGGGTCCTGAGGTACTCCCTAGAGAGAGCTGAATCTTCTATAGTTTAGCCTGCACAGTTTAGCCATCCCGGGGCACTTGTGCACACAATCAGTAACACACTGAAAACTGCTCGTGGAAATAATTACACACCACTGGGGAACCACATATACTAAGCATTATATGCATAAAATATCTGCTTTCTTGGGATCACAGTCTGCACACATATGTAATTTCCTATTTACTATCACCACTGCAAGACTACAGCACCTCATTCTGACTACAGTGATATCCCATTGAGAGGTCAAGCCAGGAGCTGGTATTTTATGTGTGACTTGCTATAAGAAGGAAAGATTTATTCTTTGGCATTCTATTCTTTGAATTTTAACATATGTGTCTGCACACATATGTAATTTCCTATTTACTACCACCACTGCAAGACTACAGCACCTCATTCTGACTACAGTGATATCCCATTGAGAGGTCAAGCCAGGAGCTGGTATTTTATGTGTGACTTGCTATAAGAAGGAAAGATTTATTCTTTGGCATTCTATTCTTTGAATTTTAACTTTGCCTTGTGAAAAAAGAAAAAACAAAATTCACATAAAACCACAAAAATATCTACTCCAATGACCATGGATTTTGAATAAATATAGGACCTTGACTGGTGACTGCAACAAGATGGCAAAACCTAAAAATGTGTCAGTAGGATCATTCTCTTTTGAAGAGCAATATAAAGACATGCACTTAAAATAGACATGGAATTGACTTTTATTTCATGCTCACTTACCCTTTGACATCCAGAAACCGGGATGATTTAAAAATCTAGCACTCACTACTCTCTAGTTGCCATCATTCTATTAGTCCAGTTGTGTGCAAATTCACAGTTGTGAAAGACCACCTGGTATCCAGGTAAAAGCTACAAAACCAGCTCCATAGCTAATGACAGTGTTAAACCGTAGAATCCATACCTTTACCCCCGTTATTAAATTACTTCCACATCCCAAAAACAAGGGGAGGAGCAGAGGTACAGCATTCAGAACTGAACAGTAAGTTACAAAACTTTGAGCACAACACTATATTGAACGCCTAAGAGCACCAAATTTGTGATGCTGCTTCTTACTTGGTGAACCTCTCCTTTTAACATCTCCTGGATCACCAGTATCTATCGAGGATTACCAGGCAATACTGTTTCCCACCAATGTTTAAAGTACTACCTAAGGTATCACCTATGCTGGGAAGCAGATCCAGTGAGTGAGTAACAGATTCAACGGCCGCCAACAGTATTTCATTTTAGGTGGTAGCTGGTCTTCGGCATGGGAGAGTAGTACAAGCCAGTTTGGCTGCAATGACCGAGATTTTCACTGCCCAACACCAAAGTTTGCCAGCGAGCCGCCGAACGCACAGGTAAAAGGCAGTCGCTGCTGCGTTGCGGGGCGCCGTCCTTTCGTCACTTTTACCTCAGCCGGCTGCAAGAGGCGACAGCAGCCGGGCAGGGACAGCCTGCCGGGTCCCCGGGGGGTCTCCAGGGACCCGCTGCACGGAGCGGCTGGGTGGGCGACTGGGAGACAGCCCGGCCGTGCCGCATGCCTGTGCACACTCACACACCGGGAGCGCCCCAGCAGCGCCCGAGGACAGACGGGAGCGCCGAGCAACCCCACAGGGGGCGGCCCCGGGAGGGTGGGAGAGGCGGAGGGGCAGCCCCCCCACACACACCTCCCCCACCCTCCCGAGGCCGCCCCTCACCTGCGGACAGCAGCGCTGCCGGGGAACCCCCGGCCCCCCCGCCCCGCTTAGGTGCACGGCAACAGGCGGCTGCGCCCCTCGCCCGGCACCGCGCACCCGCTGCCCCGGCCGGGATCGCTACCTCGGGAAGGCTCTGTGCGCTCCCGCCGCCGCCTGCTCCCGCCGCCGCTGCCGCCGGGGCGGATCAGCTGATATTTACCTGTGAGGTAATGCACGCTCCGTAAGGTCACCGTGCACCCGCCGCCGGCACACGGTGCCAGGCAGGAGGAGGAGGGACGCGCCGGGAGGAGCGGGAGTCGCTCCTGCTCCTGCTCCGCCGGCGCCGCGCACGGCGCCGGAGCGGGGCGGCCGCGCCGCGCAGAGGCAGAGGCGGCCGCTGCCGCTGCAGCTCCTGGCACATGCTGCAGGTGTCAGCGCAGGAGCTGCCCCGCCGCCCGCCCGCCGCGCCCGCCCCGCCGCGCTGCGCAGCCGCGCCCGCCGCACCGCGCCGGCGCCAACGCCACGCGCCGGCGCCCTGCGCGGGCTGAAGCCGCGGCGAAGCCGCTGCCCGGCCCCGGCGCCCCCCTCGAGGGACGCTCCCCCGCCAGCACCGGCGGAGAGGGGCGGTGGGAGCGATGACGTAGTGGGGCGTGGGGCAGGGGCGCGGCCGGGCGGCGGGGCCGGGAGACCCCTCAGGGCCCCCCGAGGGCGCGGCTCCGCCAGGGGGGTGCGGGTGCGACCCCCCCATCCCCGCCGGGGTGGCGGGCGGGCCGGGGGAGCGGCGGGGCGGGCGAGTGGAGAGGGATGATGTCATCCTCTTTTCCCGGGGAGGGCGGGGCTTGTCCTGGGGAGGAGGTGGGCGCGACGCCGCGGCTCCCCTGGGAGCCGGCAGAGGAGGGTGGTAGGCGCGGTGCGAGCTTCGCACGGCGCCTGGACAGGCGCTGCCCCGGGCGGGGCGGGCGCCGTACCTGCTGCGGGCTGTATCGCTCCGTGCCGCAGCAGCGGGGCGAGGGTCGGGCACCGGGGGAAGGCACCCCAGGCGGGGCTTCCCGGAGCCCCCGCACGGGTCCCAACCCCGGGCGGGGGTCCCCCGGCGCCCCTCGTGTGGGTCCCCGCCATCCCGGCCGGTGCTCCGCAGAGCGGAGCGCGACTTTGGCACCGCCACAGGCAGCGCGGTGACGTATTGGGGAAAGAGCGCTTCATCCGAGCCGCGGTGGCAGCCCTTCCCCGGGATTCGGGTCCTGCAGGTGTAGGTAGCGGTGCACACTCTCGACTCCAGCGCGGCTCACTGCTGAGAGCAGAGGTTGGCCTGTGGGTGGGCGTGTAGGAGCCTTCCGAGCACATCGGGTAGCCCGGCTGTTGGGAATGATGAACAACAAAAGCTTCTGATCATCCTGCGGCTCTCAAAATTAGCACATTTGCATCTGGTGAAGGAATCGAATTGTCTCCAGTGCTCAAGTTCTGTGACCCACTTTTTCCCCCCCAACTGGTCAGATAAGCCATAGGGATTAACCATGTAGGCTTAACACACAGGTACCTGAGAAGAAAATTCAGCAGCTTTCAGAGTAGCAGCCACATGTTTTCTTTCATGTTCAACCATAATTTCCTGAAAATAAGACACAGCTATCTGCATTAGAAATGCAATGCAGTCTTTAAAACAACGAAATTTGGAGGTTGGGTGGGGGGTTTTCTCTTCAGTTTTCACAGATTTTTTCCTATCCACTTACAAAACCAATTAACAATATTTATATAAGTCTTTAGCTGCAATACTTAAAACTTGAGTTCAGATAATGCTGGAGGGTCTAGATCCTCCTAATCGCACGGTGTCAGGAGGGCTGAAGGCTTTTGGGATGCAACTGTCTCGGTCCTATGTTAGGACTGATACTTTGACTAATCTAAAAGCAACATGAAGAGACCACAGCTCTGTCTGGAAAAAAAGAAGCAGAAAAATCAAAAGGAGGGAGGTTTGATCATGCTGGATGCACAAGTGTGCCTGGTTAGATAGCTAGGGCATTATGCTACTCTACTGCATGCAAATATTAAGAATCTAGTCATCCTTTTAAAAGCCTGAGGAGTTGAGCACAGGAGAAAGGCACAGGCAGTACTGGATTCTCCCAGTGATGACACTTAGCAGCCACTGGCCTCCTCACACTGCTGAAGCAGTGGGAAGGAGAGCTGACAAAAGGATGAAAACGAGATTCAGGCACAGTAGATACCAAGCAGATACCCACAAGATTGTACCCTCTAGCTTGGTAAGACACACTGGGAATGTAGGAGGGATGAAGTGCATAAGAGGTGATACAACAGCTGAAGTAAGGTATGAGGTCATGGAGGTTGAAATGGAAGCTTCAAGTGAGGTGTGGTGGGTGATGGAAAACCAGCAGGCAAGTCTGTGTGTGTATCAGTTACGGAAGTTGATTATTATTACCACAATATAGCAGAAAAAACAGGGAAAAGGTAGTGCCACAGAGGATGAAATGAGTGAGCCTGCATAAGGGATTTTGTCACTGTAGTAATGAGGTAAGGGAAGATTTGTGTTTCAGCAGGGACATTTAAGTGTCAGCAACCTTACTGAAAAGGAAGAGTGGCACATTAAGCAGATCAGACCACAGGAGAATCTGTCTTTAAAATCTCTGTTTCCAGCTCACAGGAGAATATACCAGGAGACCTTGATGCTCTGTAGGGAGTCCGGTTAAGACATTTTCAGGACCGAGGATGTTCATAGCTCTATAGTCTGCTAACTGGGAGGGCTGCTATAAATTATAGCTTCTCAGACTTTGTCGGGGAGTGTTGCTTCATTTCTTGAAATTATGAGCTAAATTAATCACTGTTTTAACATGGCACTAAATTATTTGCACTTATAGGCAGTTTCACCACAATAAATCATAATCTTTCATCTCTAGAACATGCCCTTCCAAGGCTGAGTGGGCAATGGACTCTCCAATCTATGGGTCACAGACCTGGCTGTGACGGTCTTTGCATGGCAAGAGAGGAAATGTTTTCAAGGGGAACTGGGACTTGAGTTGTCAAGCTGCTTTTCAACAAACTATCATCACATAGAAGGCAAAATTCCTGTAGAAAAATGCTTTGATTCTTGTCAAAGCACCACAGGAACAGGACTTCAGGACTTCACGTTGCTTTAGGTGTTGTTAGCAGTCTTGTAGCAGTGTGCTTTCCTGCCAAATCAGAAAGGTTATTTTGTTTAAGGTACACTGTAAATCAGCATTTTCTAAGTGAAGCTTTCCTCAAATGTCCAGTTTGCAGGAGAAAAAATGTGTTTGTTAGGTTTGCTTGAAATTGATGAAAACTAAATGAAAACCAAACCGAGAGTGGAAGCCTCTGCTAAGTGATTTTTGGCCAGTCTCATAGAGATGCTGATGGTACAAATTCTGCAGGGTTGTTACAGGACAGTCTGAGTGTTTCCTGCAACTGTGAGATGTATTTCAGACATCTGTTCCTTGCAGGAGAGACATTGGTTTGTGTCTACCAGAACAGGCTGCTTTCTGCAGTCAAACACCTGAAAACTTTTGTTCCCCCTCCATTAATTCTCATACTTGCAAAGCAGCACACTTCATTTGCTGATCCTTTATAAATATCTCGGGAGCCACCTCTTCATGCCCCTTTATATGGATGTATTTACGTTATCTCACAAACTACTCTGATGTTTATTAGCTTCACCTGAGTTTGTCATCAACACTAGTCATTGATCAAATTAGAGGTTCATTCCAGCCAGGCTTAAGGTCAAGCTCCTAATTACAAGGCTGGAAAATGAGAATGACTGGGAGTAATTTACACTTAAAATGTAATTCTAGGGCAAATTTAACAACAGGTTCTTTTTTAGTTGCCCTATTATCTTTCACCTTGAATTTTTAAGGTGTCTCATCCATAAAAAAATAGGAGTTTAATTTGCACCTATACTGTATGTCTTGTCTTGTTCCCTTCTAGCACAAGGGAAGTGTCTCAGGTGTGGTTCTATTTGAAGTTCAAAATAGTCCCTGCATTCCTGACCCTTTTTTCTGTCACACCTTCTAAGCAAACTGTCCTATCACATGTTGACCAGCTCTTCTTTACAGACAGCAATTCATGAAGGAGTTTCCAAACCTTTTACTGTCTTTCCTGCAATTTACATTTAATAACATTAAAAACCATGAGGTCTGTAACAATCCTCTCAGGTTTTCCACACACAGACTATTTCCTCTTGGGTAACATAAATGGCTCTCTAACAGTGAAGATGACAGACATGATAACGACACATTTTGGCCCAGCCGCCCTCCCACCATGCAGTGTCAGCTTCTGGGGTTCTTAATTTGACATCCCCTCCCACCCCCAGTGCTGAAGAATGAGAGAAGATCACACCTCCTACATCTAAGAGAGTGTGAGGAGAGCAGGAATCACACTAGACAGTGCTGATCTTAATGTCAGCATTAACAAATCTAATCTTTCCTAGTTCATCTATCACTGTGCCAACCAGGCATCGTTTTGTACAATTAAGTGCCTGTGAAATCAAATAATAAACTGAATTTGTTCCATTTGGGTACATCATTCGAACTGGACTTTTGGATACATCATCATTACTATGATCTTTAACTTATCGAAAATGCCAGAATACAGATAATAACAGTAAAAATACTGACAGTGTACATTAGTGGTTTCCTTGACTCATTACAGCCAGAGAATAAAGTCCATACTTCACTCTGGAAAAATGCAGTGCTTAACACTGAGATGTCATAGGGAAGGAATAGGATTTCTGCTATATAGAAATAAAAGATTTTAGTGGGCAGGGAACTACTGAACACTTAGTACACTGACTTATTTTAATTTTTTTTATTAATATTTTATTTATTCACGCCTTGGAAGAAGGAAACTGTGTTGACTGTTTAGCGTCAGATTACGTGTGTAACTCTAGGCTTTCTTAATGACCTGGAAGTTAGAATTGTGATTAAGTCTGTTACTAAATTAGTAGGTTTGTGGTAACTACGTGAGTTTTGTTCAGAATATGATGGCAGTTCCAGAGAGGTCACGCTAAACAAGAAATATATTACCACAGACCTTTATTTGCTGGCAAAGTGAGGGGACTATTCACACCTAACACCTCTAAAGCATCTTCTGAGAGTATCGTTTATTCTACTCCAAGAGGAGTTTAAAACCTTTTTAGAGGTGAGTGTTGCTGGCCATTACTCTGGTGACTGATGACACCAGGAGGCATCTGTCTTCCCTAGTTTTGATGCTGCTGTTGTGTGACAGCTTCTCAGGTGAGCTCCGATGAGCTCCCTCCCTTGCCGTATGAATCCAGCCTGTCTACCAGAGAAAATAAAGGGTTTGAAGGGATTCTGAGAGGAGCACAACTGTTTTAGAAAGACAGACGAATGCATGGGAGGTTGTGAGGAAG